AACACATATATAATTAAATAAAATATCCATTTCAATAGCAACACAAAATTTAATATACCTATGAAGAAGAATAAGCCTGATATGAAACTTGCAAACTCTAAATGAAGAAACTTTTTGACTATAACCAAAGGTCACTAAGGAAGACTTGAAAAACTACAAAAGGTAATCAAATTTTTTTAACCTTCATTATTTTTGAGAGAAAGAGTGCATGTGAGTGGAAGAAGGGCAGAGAGCAAGGAGGACAGAGTATCTGAAGCAGGCTCCATGCTGATAGCATAAAACTCAATGAGGGACTCAGGCTCAAACTCACATTGTGAGATCATGACCTGGATCCGAAGGTGGATGCTTAACTGATTGAGCCACCCAGGCGCCCTGGAAATCACATTCTTATAGAAGAAAACAACGGAATAATATTGAGATATGCCTAAGGACATCATGAGACCTTAGAGCAAGAAGGGACTACAGAAAGATTCTGGGGCAATTGGATTTCTTTATGGGAAACATAAAATAGAATTAAATACTGTTCACAAAAGTAGTGGAAGTGTAGAAATCCATACTTTATTGTTTATTTATTTGTTTTGTTTTAAGTGGGCACTGGGTGCAGAGCCTAATACAGGACTTGGAATCATAACCCTGAGATCAAGACCTGAGCTGCTATCAAGTCAGACACTTAACCAACTGAGTCACCCAGGTGCCTCCAAGAAATCCATACTTCAAAGTTATTAATGCGGCGCCTGAGTGGCTCAGTCAGTTAAGCATCTGACTTCTGCTCAGGTCATGATCTCACAGTTCGTGAGTTTGAGCCCCACACAGGCTCTTTGTTGACAGCTCAGAGTCTGGAGCCTGGTTTGGATTCTGTGTCCCCCTCTCTCTCTGCCCCACCCTTGCCTGCACTCTGTCTCTGTCTCTCTAAAACAAATAAACGTTAATTTTTTTAAAAAAATAAAGTTATTAAGAGAAAATAGTGGAGAATATTGTATTTAATATTAAGCTCAAAATTATACTGCTATATTCTGCTACAAATATGTATTCTCTAAGATGAAGGATATCATTAATAAAGCTCAAAAATTAAAACAAGAAAAATCTAAGAAGATATTAGCTACACGTAAAGCAAAATATTCCTATCTGGTAGTAAATCAGTCAGATATTTCGATAACAACCACTTGCCCCTCCCCCCCATTTCACTCATTTATCATTTCTTTCATGGGTCAATTAGGATATCTCCTTCACATCTGACTACATACAGCTTTAGCCAGGGACACAAGCTAACCAAAATCTATCATCGGAAGCAATGGAATATATTACAATGATGAAAATGTTCTATATCTGTGCTTAACGAATACAGTAGCCATTGGCCACATGTGGCTATTGAGCACTGGATATGTGGCTGGTGAGAACAAGAAATGGAACTATAATATTATTTAATTTTCATTAATTTAAATGTAAATAGCCACACGTGGCTAATGGCAACCACATTGGATAGTACAGATATGGGGCACTGTCAATCATCAAGGAAGAGAAAAAGACAGTGTGATAAATCACATTAAAACACCTTTCTGACAATTACTCCCATACATATCCATAAGGAAATTTAAACTTCTCTGTAATTTTTTTTTCTCTGTAATTTTTTTAATTTCCATTTGTAAACTCTGCATCAAGAATAAAAAAATACGAATGTCTGTTCATTTTTGGTAGCAAGTATTTGTTTAGATTATCATGTAATATTAAGTGCTTTTGATTTTTAAACACTTTAATAATATGAAAGCAAAGCTTTGACACTATTGGTTTAGATTTCTGTGTATCATTCATTGAACACTGTTGCCAAGTTATTTGTATGTATAAATTCCCTTTGAGTTCCATAGTAGCAACATCTCCTTCTCCTCAGCCTTCCTCATCATGGATCTAGTTTATGACTTCTTTACACATGAGTTTTCTCCAGTCACCAATTTTATCATGATAATCTCCAGGTTTCTGTTCTTGAACATGCTTTCTTCTTAATTTCTTTTCAGGAAAATCTCATAGACTCAACTCTTTGGTTTCTATCCATAGAGCTCCCCAGTTTATATCTCTCAGGTATTTTTAAGTTCTAAATATGTCCAACTGGCTATTAAAATTCTCCACTGGGAATCTCCAAGCCTATTTCTCTTCCTTGTGGTATATCATCTCAGTGCATGACATCACCATCCATCAGGAAGCACAAACCAGAAAATTCAGAACCATTTCCAAAAATCTGTCTTACTCATTCCTTGACAGTTAATAAACAAATTCTGCCAGATATGTCCATGTGGCTCTCTTAGATTTTAGTTTGAATTTTCTCCCACTTACCTTTGAACTACTTGAGGGCAGAACTATTTCATTTCTTCCGTTGCCTGTAATAATTGGCAGAGGACTTGACCTAAGATGCTTACTTAGTTAAAAATTTATAAAAGAAGGGAGTCATTGGATTAGAAGAGGTTTGTTTCCATAAGTGTGTTTCTATAAGTTTGTTTCTATGAATTTCAGTGCTACAATAGTGATAAAACAATTTCAAAAGAATTATATAGGGCCCTTTATGTAGTTATAAAAATAGATTTAATAATCCTTTCTTTTTTTAAATATTCCTTTAAATGCAGTCTCTCTCTATCCTGCCCTCAATCTGAGAAATGTTAAAGATTGTGGTTAACAAACGTGATAACTTTTGAAATGACAAGCATTTCAAAGTTCCAATCAGCTTCTTGTGGTCTACTATATGGAACTACCATCTTTATTAACATTTTAATCTGTTTTTTTAAAGCCTTCTTCACTTCACTCACTCTATATTCACTGTGACAATGTAGTGGGTTTCTTAAATGAACACAGCAGCCCTTTTTACTTTTTAAACATTTAGTAAACATGTGTGCCTTTTTGTGTTTTCCATCTGGCTTTAAAATGACTTTATTAAGCCTATGTAAGTTAAAGACTTTATAAAGGGTTTGGGTGCGGCAGTCTTTCCTGGTAATAATGAAACTTAATTAGGTTACACCTAAAGCTCCTTACAGCTCTTTGAAGCTAAGGTTGAAAACTGACTCAAGATAAGACTACTTTTGTTTACATATACAGCAACAACTTCTTCCATCATTTATCATAGTCTACAGAGATTCCTGAATCTATCTTTCACAGCTTTTCTGTTTAATTTTTAACTTTATTATCTCTAGCTATAGAATTCACCTTTACACAACGTTGCATATATTTGAAATCATATTCTTCCTTATTGTTGTTTCAGACTCTACAGGCAGGATGAATAATTCAAACACAACCTAACTAAAGGACAGCCCTTCTACCTCAAATTCTGATTTAATAAAAGAAAAAAAAATATGTATTTGACTTGGGATCCCTGATATTAAAGTGAATGAATTCTGAATCTGCACATATTCAGATAGATGTGGGGAGTGATTCACATGATTTAGGAAAGCCTCAGATGATCCTACTGTTTTCAGACCTCCTTTTTTATGAAGAAAAAGTAATGTGCAAAATAAGTATACCAAAAAGAGTTACTATCTAACTCCAGTAGATGGATCAAGATATCCAAGCAATGTATTGTATTATTCTTCTGCAAATGTGACTGAATTAAAGCTGTCTATATATGAGTTAAGAACAGAAGGTGCAGTGACTTACATATCTTGAGCAGTTGTAGAGTGAAAAGAGAATTGGACTTCGATTCCTATGACATAAGTCACCCCTACTCTGGCAGTGCACAATGAATAAATCCCCTGACCTTGCTTTCTTCACCTAAGTAATGGAACACTTAGAATACCTTCTTTGCATTTCTCACAGTGTTGTCCTGAAGGTCAAGTAATAGAACATTAATGAGAATGTTTTATCATGGAGACAGAGTAACATAGTAAGAAGGGATGAATGCTCTGAATTCAGTCTCTCTGGCTTCACAAACCAACTCCACCACTGTGGTCAGGGTGCTCTGGGCAAGTGAAGTGAGCCTCTTTAAGAGTCAAGCTCTGTGTGAGTAAATACGCCTACCTCAAGGAATTTATTAATATCATTGATTAAGATAGACCATACCAAGTATTAGGACTGAAGCTTGGTATGTACTCTATGGCTAAGAATTCAATGAGAAGGCAGTTTTCACATGAGAGCTGTGCCCTCCCAGCCTCACCTGGGTGGTGAGCCAAGCACAGCCTCCTTTCAGTCACTGTGCTCCTCTCTTTTTGATCTAGGAAGCGGTGTTTGTTGATATACTGTCACTATTTTCTTGCATTACAGTGGTTTGTCCTGAGACTCAGGTTTGGGAATTAGTATAGGGAAGATAGACAGAGCTTTGTTATATTTGGTTCAAAGCTTTTTAGGATCCTTGCATATGAAGGAGCCCCAAACGAGTCCAGTCTTGATTAATGGGTTTTACCTTGGGCTTTGGAGCCAAAAACCTCAGCTAATAATACAATTTTGCCATGTTTGGATTTTGTATTTACCATCCCCAAATATCATGCAGGGGGAGGCTGTTTTGCAATGGAATTTGTATATTCCTAATATCCCTAGGCAAAGTCACTATTAATATCTCCCTGGGTGGCTTCTTTGGTTAAGCATCCGACTTCACCTTAGGTCATGATCTCAAGCCTCCTTCAAGCCCCGTGTAGGGCTCTGTGCTGACAGCTCAGAGTGTGGAGCCTACTTCAGATTCTGTGTTTCCCTCTCTCTCTGCTCCAGCCCCGCTTGCACTCTGTCTCTCACTCTCTCAAAATAAATAAACATTAAAAAATAATTTCCTTAAAAACTCCCTTTATAACTTCCTTTAAAAATAAATATTCTTTTATCTCCAGTGCTTCCTGTGTCCATTTCTCTCCTCTGAAACTCTTGTCTTCTCCTCCTAAACTGACTGTTCTGCATCCAATTCTATTCATTCTTCTATATTCACACTGAATGAAACTTCACACATGAAACAGTTTTTTTTTTTTTTTTTTTTCACATGTATTCTTACTTTATTAAATCTTACTAGTATTATTTGGGAAAATACACAGATGAGTAGGCTATGTTGATGAAATCTTATTTTTATAGGAGAATTAAGAAGACTTCAAGATACTTTCAGGTATTTTCTTCAATGATGCTTCTTATCTTTATTCCGAGACTCCAGGTAATATTCAGCCCCTACAGCTACCACAAATGCAGCAAATCCCCATTTGAATCCTTTTAATAATGCACCAACAAAGGAAACATTGTTTGCAAAGCCACCCATGTATCTCCAAGCTTCATTGCGGCCCCATGGATCCCTTAGCCCTCGTGCAGCCAGCTTCTCCTGGACAGTTTCTAATGGTGTCCCTTCTATCTTCCATTGTTTATAATCTGGAAGTTTTAATTTACTATGACCATGTTCATGTCCGTGTCCATGGGCCATGTCTGACAGCAATCTGACCTCTCACGACACTCCCACATGAAGCAGTTTTTAACATTACATTTCTATTAGAGCTTTTGTATTAGTTTCCAGGGATAAACCCTCCAATTACCACCCAAAAACATTTCCCTCATCATTCCTTAATTATAGAATCCAGACTTTATTTAGGAATGCAATAAGCCTAGCTTAAAAACAAAAAAAAAGGGGGCATTTCTGAGCCTCACTGAGCATGTGACTACATCCTGACCAATAAGATGTAAGTGGGAATGTGGTAGAATTTGAGAAAAGCCATATCAAGGACACTAAGTTGGGAAATGTGTTAGCTTGCTCTTCCTACTTTCTTCTTCCCGCCCCTCTTGGTCAGAGGTGCAAACATAACAGTTTCCTCAGTTATCATGTGAACATAAAAGGACCTCCAATATAGTAGTGTGCTCTAGGATGGTGAAACAGAAAGGTGGAAGGGGTCTCATTTCCCTAGAGCTGCTGTATCATCCTATTCTCCAGGTTGCTTTCTTGTGAGAGAGAAATGAACTACTTTTCATATATAATGATGCTGTTATATTGGGTACAATATCACCAGCAGTTAAATTAAAACAGTCACTTTATCTTCACATCCTATACTTCCAAAATGGCACATCTGTCATTGGAAAAACTCCATATGAAAACTTTGAGTTTGGAAGAGTCATTCTTACATGAATTTCTCAAACCCATCATACTTAATTTCATATTGGGATGTTTTAATATTCTGTGAATTTAGTTACACAACTAGTTCCTGGCACTAGGGGCCAGAGGAACACAGTAAAGCCGCAAGAAGGAAGAAGGACTTACACCTTCCTGCTTGCATTCTGTACCTGTGAACAAAATCCCAGAAATGACTGTTGCTCATGCTGTGAAGTTGGTTCTTGTCTTCAGCATTTTAACTGGTACTCCCATAGCCAGCCTCATACATCCACTTAGAGATAAATCACACTCTTGGGCACTGTGTGTGTGTGTGTGTGTGTGTGTGTGTGCATGTGAGAGAGAGAGAGAGAGAGAGAGAGAATGTGTGTGTGGTATGGGAGGCAACAAACCAGCAATCTGTGGTTGAATAGCCCCTCAAGTGATTCTGATGTGCACCCAAGCTTGTACACTTAAGTGTCCTGCCTACACACTAATGACTTCATATTTTCCTATATATACTTCACCTTAATGTTCTCTATAATCTTCCTTAATTCTACTCAGTGTTAAAAAATCCTTACAACTTGGCCATGTCTCTAGAGTCTGTGCAATACTAGTCTCTGCAATATCACCTGTCTATGTGCTTTTAGACTTCTGGGTGGGTATGATTCTGAGATTTGCCTTCATATTATTCTTCACGCCATTCTCCAAATTCCCTTCACTTCTCTCCTGTATTGATTCCTTTATTTCTTGGACCTTCATTTCCCTGGAGTACAAAATCAAGTCATCCTGAAAAATGATACATGGTTGGTGATTTTAGAGACCTTGAATATTTGAAAACATCTAATTCTACCTTACATTTTTATGATTGCTTAACCAACTACAAAATTCTAACTTAGAAGGATCTTCCAGCAGAATGTGTAAATGCTGTGCTTTAATTGATGCTAAAAGAAAATGTTGCTCTTGAAAGGTCTGATGTTATTCTCATCCTGGTGCTTTGTGTGTAACACCTTTTTCTCCCTTCACCTCTGCTCTGCTCCCATTCCCTCCTCTGTTTCTCTCCTTGGGTTCCTGAAATCTTCTCATGATATATTTGGTGATTCTTTTTTTTAGTTATTGTCTTTCCAAAGTGAATATTCATATTATTCTGTTACATAATTTTTCTTATGGCATATTTTTGACAAATTTCTCCATTCTTTTCTTCCCCAAGTGCACCTATTACTTTAATGTTAGAGGTCTTTTTTTATTGAAGTATAATTGACACACAATGTTATATTAGTTTCAGTCACAGAGGTTAGACATTTTTTATTGGATTTTTGGAGTTTTTTTGTTTATATTGCCCATCATTGTCATTATTAGAACTTTTCTACCGTCTGAGGTAGATTGAGATTCTGAGATTTAGTAAACATACAGCCCTCTTACTGAATTTTAGAGTACATACACAGATATTTAATTTCCAAAAAGTCTCTCTTGTTCTCTGAGTATTCCAAGTTATAATGCTTCCAGTTTTTTCGAAATCTTTCCTGATATTTATGTGGACAGTAACAGGTTTTTAGATTTTCTGAGGCTCCATCAATTTTCTCTATTTTGTGTGTATGTGTGTGTGTGTGTGTATATATATATATACACACATATATTGCTGATGATTAGTTTTAAGACCTTGTTTCCCATGTTCAATAACTTCCACAAAAGTGACTTATTATTTTCAGCTTTTGTATCTAATAATGGATCACTGAAAAATAAAACGGGATGATTTGTTTTCATGACTGGGGTTTGTTCACTTCTTGTTTGCATCATGTGTTAATCAATCAGAAGTATGGTGTATTAAGGGAAAATCACTAAACAATTCCTGGCAATTCATTTTTCCCACCAGGAAATCTTAATCTCCAGTCTTGCAGTCTTAACTGCGAGATCCAAAAAGGTGAAGTTAGGTGTTGCCTGTTCCCACTTTTCAGTATAAAAATGTTGATTTAGTCTTCCACTGGCTTTGTCTTAGCTGTGTCTGGGATTTTCCAAATTGTAGATTTTCTTGTATATATATTTTTTGTATATAATAACCTATCACACACCACTGTGAATAAAGGGACATTGCCTCTCTAGTAGGAGTTGTTGGACAGGATCTTGAAAGTCTTGTTATAGACACACATACATACACGCTTTCAACCAGATGTTCTCTTTTTAACTCCACAAATACTGAAGCCTCAGATGTATCTCTATCACCAATTTCTAAGCTTGTTTGGATTCTTGGGATTCAAAGAATTTGTTTGTTTTAATTTTTTAAAATGTTTTATTTATTTCTGAGAGAGACAGTGTGAGCAGGGGAGGGTCAGAGAGAGAGGGAGTCACAGACTGAAACAGGCTCCAGGCTCTGAGCTAGCTGTCAGCACAGTGTCCGACGTGGGGCTCAAACCCACAAACCATGAGATCATGACCTGAGCCGAAGTTGGATGCCCAACCGACTGAGCCACCCAGGCGCCCCAAAGAATTTGTTTTTCAACATCATTATCTTGTAGACAATTAAGTTTCAGCTCTGTCTACTCTGCTAAATTAGCAGAAGTTATATCCCATCTTTTTTCCACCTTCCAAGCTGCTCCCAGTGATGTTTCTCATCTGCTTTTGTCTCCTCTTCTATATTTTTTGTTATGTTAGTTTATACATTATTTTATTATTCCTGGTTTATTGTAATTTTAGAAAAGAAGAATAATTATATCTAATAAATCCATCTATACAGCCCAAAGTCAATACATTATTGCTTATTTTGTACATTCCTGGAAGTTAGTCTTTGTTGCTAACTTTTAGTTTTATTGTATTGTTCAGTGTCCCATTGGATAGTGATAAACTTTCAACTCTTCATTGTTCCCTCAATTTCCAGTAATCAAGATACTTGTAAGAATCTGAAAAATCAGAAAACTTTCCATTGATGACTTTATTCATTTTGTTTTTAAATCACATCTTCTTATGCTCTTATGAGTGTGGCATTCTGAAAATGACAGAGTGCATGGATCCTTGGAGCTTCCCTATTAAAGCTAGGCTTTTAAATACTGTCTCTCCAGAATTAATGCTATCACCTTCCTCTGTGGAGGCACTCATGGATGATTATTTTGAAGTCAGAGCCAAGAAGTTAAGTGTTGAGAAGTGGGCATGAAGTTTCTTTTCCAAACTTGGCACACATTTCATAATGCTATTTATCTGATGGGAAAAGAGACCTCAAATTTTGGCAGTCACTATCACTTCCATCTATCTCTTGTTCATCAAAATTATCTCTATTTGCCTTCTTTAACTTTCTTTCCAATGTATAGCTTGTTTATAATTAATTTTTAATCATTTTTTTTCTCTTAGGCATAATCTTTTGAAAATCCTACTACACAGAAGCAAGTTTGTGTACTCAGTGTCATACACACACTTCTTTGCCTCCATCCTGCAAATTTAGATGGCACTGTTTTATTGTTGTTAAATCAACAAATATTTTAGATTATGAAAACTGATATGCTGTTCTGATTAACTTAGTCTGTCATGACTACATTTACCACCTGTCAGGAAGGGGTATCTGTGTTCATTTTGGAATAACCAATTATTTTGACACTAAATGCACTTCTTTTGGCACCAACTCAGGATGTGCTCTATGTGGTTGGTGCTAATCTGGTTTATTTGCAGATTTGGCTTATTTCGCAGTTTGCAGTTAGGGGAGGGAACCATCGTTTTCTTGTTATTATACAACTCTCTTTTCTGGGACTCAAAATACAACAGTATTAAAAGGCTTCCTATTTACACTATATATCTTTCCACTTATGTATCCATGTACTGTATGTGATGTTATTCATATACTAATGTTTACTTATGTTTTTAATATCAGCGTACTATTAAATAATATCTACTTAGGAAAAAAGAAATGCTTAATCTTTTTTTTTTTTAACGTTTTATTTATTTCTGAGAGAGAGAGTGAGACACCGTGAGCAGGGGAGCAGAGAGAGGGAGATACAGAATCTGAAACAGTCTCCAGGCTCTGAGCTAGCTGTCAGCACAGAGCCTGACATGGGGCTCGAACCCACAATCTGTGATATCATGACCTGAGCTAAGTCGGAGGCTTAACCGACTGAGCCACCCAGGTGCCCCAAGAAATGCTTAATCTTAATTGCTCTATCTACAGGTACAATATAATGATTATATATTAAATCCAAGAAGTCAAGGAAAAAGACAATACTTTGTGAGATATATTGTTAGTACTATTAAGATAAAAAAGGCCATTAAATATAAACATCTTAAAACAACTATCTAAGTTTGTAGTAGTAACTGTATTAGCAAGCAAATGAAGCTTTAGAGCCACCAGTTATTAGGGAAATGTCACAAGGTATCTCCAGTGAAAAGCAAACAA